TGGCCGTACAGGGTGCTCAGACTGTTCCCTGTCCTAGGGTCCCAGAGCTTGATGAGGTTATCCTTGCTGCCGGACACTATCAGAGACTTGTACGGGTGCCACTCTACCGTCTTCACATCCCACCCGTGCCCCGTTAACGCGCGTTCCTCCTTGTAGTACTCCCAGTCCCAGATGCGCACCTGTCGTGGCGTCGTCGACAATGCTTCATTGACAAAAATTGAAGTACTGCTGAAGGTATCGATCTTGACTAATCTGGAAAAAGAAAACTACTTCCATTGTCGGGATGCTTCGGCAGGCGCAAGTCCTGGACAACAAAAACAAAATCATCATGAACGGCTGCCGCAATGGAAGGCGTCATGTGGTGGTAACATCTTGCGTGTGCGACGCGCTGGTGCAATGACGGAGTTCACAAGTATATTTGGTACAGCATTACACCAGCTTCCACACACAAACTAGACCCCGAGCGAAGATTGAGATACGTGCTTCATTTTTTCTATGTCAAATAACATTTGTTGCCCAAATATTAGGCTCACGCTGAACTATTCCCCTTTGGTACTACAGTAGGGGTCCCTGTTTATGGCCGCTTATGTCAGGCCGGTTGCCCTACTTATGGCCGTTGAAATCGCTTGGCACAGGTGGAATATGACATTCAAGTTGTCTCATGCACTGAATAAGGCCGGGTGCCCTGCTTAAGGCCGTGGCACTTGGCGGCCTTAAACAGGGACCTCTACTACAGCACTTGTCTTTGGGTATGTCTCATGTCAAATGAATCATTTGTATACTTTGGGCTGACTGCTCAACTACTGATCTCATCGATCTGCATCGACCCGGTACCGTCCAGTCGACAATACCAATCCCATGGGTGCATGCATGCACTCACCCCATACCGTTACCCCTTACCGTTGAGTCGTCTGAGCACGAGGCGAACTTCGAGTCCGTGGGTCCGAAGCTGAGTCCTCTGATTGGATTGGCACCATGCGCGATAAAGTGCTGTACCGCCGTCATTGAGGGCTGAGATGACAAGGGAAACAAGCCACAACCATCAAAACACCGGCGAAAACAAGGTGCAGCAGAGTAGACAGAACAAGGTTGGAACGACTGTGCCAGTGCACGAACGATCGTCCACGCGTAAGGCCCGCCTGACTGTGCAGGGATGTGGACAGCATTGCTGGATGGAGGACTTAGTGCAGGGTCAGAAAACGTAAAATACAAGACTTCCTCGCCCTCTTTTTGGCGGGTAGCGCTTTCTCGTCCGAGAAGAACTACCGCAGTGGTATGATATGCTACATTGGTTAGGAATACCTCCAACCTAGTGTTGGATTCAACCGAAGGAATGGCAGGTAGTAGTGACCAGGAGTGACGAAGCCACCGCTACAGTGCCTGGCCTGACCCGAAACGTGAAGTGGCTTGCCATGCCCGTCGACGATACAACCGACCCATCAATACAAAAGTCTAACACTTTGCCCCTGCAGGAGCAATCACTCAATACCCACGCCAGGCTAAGGCCGACGGAGAAATTGACGTGTTCCGACCTGCCAGTACTTGATGTTCCCGTTGTGGTCTCCGGAGATCAGAGTATTCCCAGAGTGACTCCACGCCATGGAGCGGACGGCACTGGAATGAGCCTTCGGAGCACACCATTGTAGAGCGCACAATCGGGCCAGCAAGGAGCGCAACAGGCGGAGATAAGCTGACACGTAAACAGCAACAATCAACGAAGACCTAGTATGCTTGGTAGATTCTTAAGCTGTTTCGTTGAGCTCGATACTCGAACTCCAGCTTCGCCAAACTTGCTTGAACGAAACAAAACAAGGAAAAACACAGGCTATCCCTGTCCGGAGACCCCGTGATCATCGCAGCGGAAGTGGGGATAGGCAGGCGAACCGGAAAATTCCTCTTGGGGGATAGCAGAGTGCCCTTTGTCCATCATTGGATCGGGCGTCTTGAAATACCTTTAGACCGACCGCTGATCAAACTGAAAGAGCCGTGCGTGTCCACAGGGAAAATCTCGGGTGGTACACAAAGGCAACCACAAAAAAACAAGATCAACAGTTGGCACGCCCGCTGCGTGCATCTAGCCAACACACACCCTTCCGATCCACCCTGCTGTGTACAACCTACCCCACGACTCCCACGGCAGAGGTCCTCTTTGTACCATCGCACCTGCAGAATGGTGACGAAATTGAAAGATCCGTCCTTCCAAAGTGTGAACTCGCCGCTAGAATTTCCGGTGATGCACCGCGTCACTCCAGCCGGCGCCCACGCCAGGCAGAAGACCGGACAGCGCTGCTTATTGGTCGAGGTTTTCACCCACTGCGGTGGAGTGTATTTCGTTCGGGGGAGGGCGGGGGTTACGAGGGTAGACGTCTTCCATGCGATAACCGTGGGTAACCCGTCCAGGTAGGGCATGTGGCTGGGTTTGGCACTTGCTCCGACAGGACGGCCAAGACAAGTGCAGACAGCATTGACAGCAAGACAGTTCCAGGTGTCTGGCGGCGTATTGTGATGGGCATGGGGCTGACGAAAACAGCACCCGGCGGCCGATGAGCTACAACTTTGACTTTGCTACAGCAATGAAGTTCTGTTTTGTCTACGTCTCTTGCCTGTGTGCACACAGCAGCCATGAGAACATTCTGCAATACAACAACAACAACAACAACAACAACAACAACAACAACAACAACAACAACAACAACAACAACAACAACAAACAACAACAAGTCTTCCTCCATCTCTAACCTGCGTGCAGACACCAGAGGCTGGGTTGCAAGGCGACAGCCATAACAACTACAGCATACACCAACACCAACACAACCTCCAACGCAATCATAACAACAAGTTGTTTCTCGCTCCATCTCTAACCTGCGTACAGATACCAGAGGCCGGGTTTGATGCGATCACCGCCGGCGGGACCATCCTCCTCGCATACGACGAGTGCGGCTGGAGGCTCCAGGGCAGCCCTCCGGTCCCGATCGGAGGATCCCCCCCGGCTGTGGGGACGTAGGCGCGGTTGATGATGTGGTGCATGATGCTGCCGGCGACGTCCACGCATCGGCGTGGGGCCTGCGCCCGCATGCGTCGCTCTTCCTCCCCCCACTGCCTGAGGGCACACCCACGCGTAGGGACGGGGGGGGATTCTGGGGATGAAAAACAGTACGTCACTCGTATGGTACACGGTGTGGGAGTTCTTCTATTTGTTGGGCGTGAACGGGTACTGCTGTTGGGAACGGGGGCAGTCGGGGTCAAGGTCGACCATGGTACAGCTGAACTACCTTGCGCGTAGCAAAAGCTGAACGGGGCATTGGATGCGGTATGCTGTAGGGCACTCTTTGCGAGCCCCGGTAGGAGAAACTGTTGCAGGGCGGTGTAGCTGGAGGTACTGCCACCGCTCACTCATCTTCTCAGCCTCTGGCTACAAGCGGGAAACATGTGTATTTCGGGCCAACCTTTCAGCCGCCGCCGCCGCCACCGAAGGCAAGAATCGTTGTACTTCTTTGCCCTGCTCTTTCCCAGATGTTATTCGGCAACACCAGTCTAGCCGGTTCCACCAGCGCACTCGACACCCGCTCTGTGGACAATATTCGGGCAACATGTCTACATTAATGTACGTACTCAACGGCCCCGGACACGTTCGACGCTTACTGCGCCGCGTTTCTGTGTTTAGGCTTGTGAGTAGGCCTTTGCTCCATCGGCCGTTTGTTTGTATGACGGAGAATAAGAAGGTAAATCGATTATGAAACGGCCGATGGAGCAAAGGCCTATAAATAGTCGTGAGCATGCTGTCCTGAACAGGCGCGGAGTGTGCTCCCTTACTGATGTGCCAAGAGCTGCGTGGAACTGCACATGCACCACCGGATGCCCTACCATATCTACGGGATATTGCACCCTGTGTTGGTGTCTGCCGCGTGCCGTTTACCCAACCGGAGCCTGACATGATGATGTGCTGCTGCTGAAGCAGACACCCATCTCTGCAACGGCAGCCGTCGCCTTGCCATAGGTGATCTCGACACCGACTACACTTACCAGTGCAAGGCCAGCACCGACTACCTCAACCAGCAGCTGATAACTGAATATCCATAGTTTTAGGAAAGTGTTGCATTCTGACCGAGAAGCCAGGTTGCAGTAGCTGTGGGTGTAGACGCCCGAGGCACAAAACACACCAATTCGCAATATGCTACAAATACCAACACACCTTTCGCCAAATCCTCTCCCACCGCCGCCTCCAAACCCGCCTCGATCGTAGAATCCTCCACCACCATAGCCCCCTCCACGACCACCACCACCCCATCGACCACTATGGGATGGCGGAGCAGCCATCACCTATCGTCGTAGAGTACAATTGACAATCTGTAGGCAGTAGCTCTGAGAGTGTGGAGCGTGAAGCAGCAGCGAGCGAGTTTCGGGTGTTGCTTCGGTACGGACACGGCGTTATGCCTGGGTGGGGACGGTCATCATGCACGACCAAAAGGGGAGCGGTTGAGCGGTGGTGTGCCAAACTCGAGAGCTCTTGGCGGCGTGCACGCAGTGAGTAGTGTTGCAACATACACAGCAAACCTGCGCCTGCTTGATGTGGCCCGAGTTGCTCACGATTGTATAGGTAGAGGCAAGAGGCGCCAGTTAGCTTTGGCGGCGCAACAGGAAAAGATGTTCTCGAGGGGTGTCCGGGCAGACTTTTTCTCGAACCATTTTTTGCGGTTTATTGAGCTCGGACAATCAACAATAATCTAGGGCGTTATCGTGGGTAGTGATATTGCTTGCTACCAGTCGGTTTGAGTTGCGCGGCGCTGTACACGGAACCACAAGATTCGTTGCCATTCATCAAAACGAAATATATTTCACGTGTGCAGGCCTGGCCTGCTGCTCTGGTGTCGCACAACGTACAGCTCGTGGCGTGCCCTCGTTGTGTCACAATGTGATGTGTTTCGCTTCGCACGCCCTTCGCGAAAATGACGTCTACATGATTTTCTCACGGAGTTAGCGATGGACCAGCTGCATGCTCCATGCAACTTGGAAAACATCACCCTGTCCCGCCGAACATCTTAGACACGGAGCAAACGGTTCATGACGTGCCCCTCTCAGCGTGCGGCACAGACATTTCCACCCTTTTTCTACTAAATGTCCACTGATCAATCAGTGAAACGTGCACAATCCCAAAAAAAAAGGGAGAGGGAAGACGCCCCCTTCCGGGCGCGCTGAAAAACAGCGCCTCCCGCCCCTCCAACTTGTAGTTTCTCTCTGGATTACAAAACTGCCTCCAACAAGAGGCTCGTGGCCATCCATGTGGAAGCGTGCCATGTAACATCAACACCCAACACTACACGCTTCCACCCACCCACGCCTAAAACCAACCACAGCACCCCAATGGAGTAGCGGTACATGTAGCCGTAGCACCCAAGTGTCAATCCGCGCAGAGCCCAATGCTACATGTGCACCCGCCAAACAACACGAAAAGAAATGTAATCCCTCCTCATGAAATAAAAAAAAGTGCGAAGAAAACAATATCCACACCACGGTGTAAATCGTAGGTAATGGTGGGGGGTCATGCCACGATAGGCACCATCCCCGCCGAGCTTGAAGCTCACTTTGAAAGCTCATATAGCAATACAAATGGAAATCGAGGAAAGTGACAGACACCCGACCCCTTCCAACAAACACCTGCCCGGGCGCTTGTTGGGAGAGGCCGAATTATTGTCACCAGGGGGGCGCAAACCTGCTACACGTCACCATCGTATGCAGAAAGAAACATGCCCGTTTCGCGGCATACGGTACCGCCCGACGAGAACCCTACCCCGGCTCGACGCGCCCTCGACGCGGGAGAGGGGCGCTGAATCCCAACGATAGATGTTCACAGCACGATTACCTCGAGCAAAAAGCAAGCTGTTGGGTAATATCGCCAGCCTCGCTCCGGTAGGGCAAGCTGGTTACAAACAAATCGTCCGGGGGAGAGTTACAGCATGTTCCGCGGCGTTTTCCGGGTCAATTTCACTAATTAGTTCTCGGTTTCAGGCGTTTCTGCCTTCATGGCTTCGTCGTAGGCAGGGGCCTCATCTGCTGGAGCTTCCTCTTCCACCAGCTCTCCGCAATCTACGATGACGACGTCATCGTTCGGCTTGTCGGCGGTGGTCGCGACGTTCTCGATCTCCTTCACGACCTCCATGCCTGGGGTCGACAATCCATCACGCGAACGGGCGACGGGTGCATAGATAATGGTTATTGTCACACTGCATTGGTGTTAACCGGTTGCCCACCTCAATAGCCTCGATAGCCAAAAATAACAATGCACACGTGTGCGCACAAATATTTGCGGCGCAGGATGAACGAAGGTAACGGTAAGAAAGAACCTCTCCTTTGAAAATATCGAAACTTGCACAACTGCTGCCTGCCAACAAGGCGTCCCTTCCAAGTCAAGAGCACTTCACACGAACCAAGAACGTACAACACGACAGCACATCGTGGAGCATAACACAACGACAGAGCGAAGCAGGCCACATGGCTGCCCTGCTGGGAGACCAACACATCTGTATGTACACCAACTTTGGTTGTGCATCAACGTTGTGTCGGTCTTGCGTGGGATGAAAGTACTGCATACAAACACACGTCCGACCCGTCGACAACGCGGTCCCTCACACCTTCCCCTCCGCCTTCGTACCTGACAGAACCTTGCCGAAAACCACGTGCTTGCCGTCAAGGTGGGGCGTGTCACGGCACGTGATGAACACCTACAGTACAGTGAGGAATACCCAGGATACGACGTGCACAATCATGGTGGTTATCGTCACGAGGTCGTGTGGGGTCCGTCGCGAGGGTGTGGTGGGTGGGGGAGAGGCGGGAGTGAAACGCGTCAGCAGCTAGGCATGGGCTACGCTACTCCACTTGTTGCGGGCTTGGCAATCCAGAAGATGCCGTGCTCTTGCTGATGCCGACATGACATGTTAATCCTTCAGTACCTATCATCTCAACCGCAGGTCCATCGATAAGCTTCGTAAATCGAACGATCTGGAATGAACCGTGCGAATGATTGAGAAAACACTTGGACTCGCAAGACTCTTCTTTGAGGGAAGCGACATCGCGAACATGATAAGCCATGCTCTGATGATGTGACAGAACCCTGTCCCAAGATCACACCAAGCAAGCCAACCTTCACGGCCGACGCACCTGAGAGCCGTTGGTGTTGGGGCCGGCGTTTGCCATGGACAGCAACCCGGGCTCCGTGTGCTTGAGCTGGAAGTTCTCGTCCTTGAATTTCTCGCCGTAGATGCTGCAGCCCCCCGTGCCGTCGCCGGCGGTGAAGTCGCCGCACTGTCAAGTCGAGCAAGAACGGTGATGTCAGCGGTTGCCTTCCAAGAGTCCAATCATCTTTCCAACGATCATGCGCCACAACTTCACCCTCCGTATGGTGTTTATGCTTGGCGGCTTGGCAAAAGAGGTTATGGTCTGTGAACAGGCTCCGCGAGCACACCCGTTGGTGAGAGGTATCGGGAACTGCCAAACACGAAACAACACAAGCATATTCGGCTGGCGAACAAACTTGAAGGCAATTATCGACAGTGGAGGTTGTCATGTGTGCGAGACTGAAAGGGCCTAAGTTGTTTGGTTGGGAACAACCGCTGTGTTTGAACCCACCCGGAATCGAGGCATTCATCGAGATATGAGCAACTCGGTGAAACCAAAATAGGGGAAGCCAGAGCTAACAACCTCCATCTCACCCTCCGACCGCATCCGACTCAACTGCTGCTGCTGCGGCTGCCGCTGCTGGTGGGGGATGACAAGAGGGCTTCTAGAAGCTCTCATCGCGACAATATCCGAGGTATTCACCACAGACGTGACATGTCGAGGGCTTCGGAGATCGAAGCAGGTTTGTGTGACCCCTGCACTACCAGAGAGAGCATCAGGAGAGAGTGGAGCCATACTTGACTGGCGCACAACACCGCAACAGAGAATCGAAAGCAAACATGTGTGTGGAAGAGTCACATGTTATGAACTCATGAGAGTGAACAAAAGAATGACACAACATTGTAGTACCTCTTCCTTTTCCCACCTGAAGCATGAAGTTCTTGATGACGCGGTGGAATTTGCTGCCCTTGTAGTGCAACGGGACGCCATCGGGGGTGGTTCCCTTGTCGCCCTTACACAGGTGGAGGAAGTTTGCGCTCGTCTTCGGGCATGTGTTCGCGTATAGCTCGAACGAGATGCGCTGAGGCTCCTTGTCTCCCACCTGACGATAAAAACAAGGCAACACGCATTACGTTGTTTAACGAGTAGACTCGAATAAAGGTGACTTGTCGAATACTATAGGCGATACGATGGAAAGTGCCGAGGCAAATGTGTGGGTGTTTGTTCATGTCATACTGCACAGGTAAGAGGACGTGCAGGAGGCAAGAACATCAACAAGAGGGATCAAGCAAAAGGTCAAACCGAAACCTCGAACCCAAGCGAAGAGGGGAAAAGCAAAACGGTAATGACCGTACCGACCCAGACTCTCTTTCTGTATTGTAGCCACATGCGACCATTCCAGCTCCTGCCAGAGCAATGTATTCATAGGAACAACCCTTGAAACTGGTTTACTACAATAAACGCTTTGAACACACGGTAAACCTCTGACTAGTCCTGTTGCTGACGAGTTCGTCGGGTCTGCTGTTTTCAATTAATAGCCATTCTGACCTGCATTCGGTTAATCATCTTCATCGCTCCTCAAAAGCGAATTCTACAATATAAAAAGGACCAAGTAGAGAAGCTTCCAACAGACACGAACAGACTACTGGTAGAATGTTCGTACCGTGACGTCGAAGAAGCACTTGGGGTTGGTGCCGTCGAAGACCACCACCCCTTCCTTGTCGTCGTACATGCTGACCTTGCCGAACAGACCGCCGAACACTGACTTCGCCTTCTCCTTAGACTCCTTCATCGCAGCCTAGGCGGGGCAGAGACCCGTCGGGGAACAGAGACCGGGTTATGGAGGATATGAACCTCGCCTTCGCGAACGTCGCAAATCGAGACCTTACGGCTTTGTGGATGGAAAAATAGAAAATGCATCCACCGTGGCTTTCTCATCTACCACCTGTAGCTTCAGGAAGCGTGTCGAATGGTACTCTCTCGTTATGCTCATCCGATCGGCCATCGGCTCCGGTGTTTCGTGTTGGAACCAACAAGCTCATCGCAACCCTACTAACAAGGGGAACGTTGCAACAGATATCGCCATGTAACCCAACTCAGTGGTACAGCTTCTGGCGATGCAAGGACAAATTTGCGGCCGTGGCAAAGTCTCGAGGGCTCACGTGCATCGAGGCGATGTCCAATCGACAACAGAGACACAAGGACGGAGAAACAAAGTCAGTGACACAGAGAGTAAACAGGAAGAAGAAGAGAGGCAAGAGAAGAGAGGACGGAGAGAGGTTGAAGACAACACAACAGCAGAACGTGTATCGTACGGAGTGAGCGAGACAAGGAGTAGCCTTGTTCCATGGCACTTGCCTTGAGCAGTTGAAGTTCCTTCCTGACTGCCTTGTTGTTGGGGTCAAGCTTGTAGGCCGCCATGAGGTCGCTCTTGCTCTCATCCACCATGCCGGTGTGTCTCCTGCACATCGCAAAGATCGGATCCATGCACATGAAACCAGATCCAAGAAGAGAAGTCGCTGGGTTAGGGGTAGGGGTCTTCACAAAACACTGCGGACATCACCCATCATCAAAAACGCCCTCACATCTCTGTTCCACAACATCGACCCCAACACAGCGTGTGGAAGAAAACGTCGCTGCAACACCCCGAAAATAAGTACCACCATGACTTGGGTATGTTCCATTCTACAAAACGATCTACGAAACGTTCTACGAAACGACGACTCCCCGAGAAGGATAACTTAGCTCCCAAACAATGATGCCCTCCACCTACACAATCCCTACTTGTCTGTATGCCCACACTTTTAGCACTTCTTCCGACGCAAGAACAAACAACGGATCTGTCAACACACCGTACCTCCACCAGGCGCTACTCTCCTACACACAAATCCGACTCGCGCACACCCCCCGCCCCCCCATTCCCATACGGCACAGGGCGGCGATCGGGAAAAAAAGACGTCAGCAGGCCGCACACGCCCACGGCACGCACCTGGCGACCCCTCTGCGGTAGAGCGCCTTGACGTTATCGGGGTCCTTGCCTAGCGCGGAGGTGGCGTGCGCGATGGCGTCGCCCCACTCCTTGCCGTTCAGGCAGGCTTGGGCCGCGTTCAGGAAGCACGACAGCTGAAGGCAGCAACAAAGGTCCGGTCGGGGAAAGAAGAGTTTAATCGCACACGACCATGGTCAAACAACCGAGTTTCGACAGGACGGGATTTACACATAATGCGGAATCGCTCGAGCTAGTGACTGCCAAACCGACACACTAGTGTGCAGAAGAGAGCATCTAGTATCCACAGGTCACAAGGATAGGCGAAGGTCGTACGCACACCTGCGGAGTATTCCCGCAACGGGTCAAACGTTTTGTGACGCGTACATTTCCAAGAAGAACTTCGATACCACCAACACGGCGTGCTAAGAAAAGCTTGAACGGGAGTGGTGTCGATAGATGATACCAAATCACGAACTACATCGATATCCCACCTCCAGAGCAACGGCGGCCGCCTCTTCCTCGCCCCCCGGGTCAGTCTTCTCGGGCACGGCGGAGGCGTTATCCGCCGCTGCGACGTAACGCTCCGTGGCCTCGAAGAATCGCTTCTCCTTGAAAAGCGCCGTCCCTTCCTCCTGCGGCGGAATAGAGTCGCAACCGGGTGGTACGCAGCACGGGAGTCGTTTCATCGCCATCCGAGACTCCGAACGGACAGGGCAGGTTCTCCACAATACGAGCCGATCCGATGTGCGTCCTGGATTCTGGTTGCCGGACGCTGCTGTTTCTCGTGAGAGCGCATGACGGGTACCGTCACTTGTGGTGGGCAACCGAATTGGTGGTGATAACACAGCTTGCGGGAAACGAGAGGCCACGCGCAACGACGCTATGCATGATGCACAGAAGCGTACCTCGGGCAGTTCGTGAGGTATCGCGTCTAGCTCGGCCACCTCTCCCCCCCCCCCCCCCCCCCCCCCCCCCCCCCCCCCCCCCCCCCCCCCCCCCCCCCCCCCCCCCCCCCCCCCCCCCCCCCCCCCCCCCCCCC